AAGAAAGACCGATGAACCTGACAGAAATTAATCATTTCTGTCAGGTTCATCGGTTTTTCCATTTCGTTCCTTATTTTTCTATTTGCTTAGTTAGCAAGGTTGATGGTTTCCGTTACTTGACAGTTCTTTCTTACTTTTGGAATTGTCAGCCTTTCCTCGAAAGACATTTCCTTTACATTCTCCCATTTATATCGGATGTTTTTTGTCATCTATGTTTCTCTCTCATATTCGACATTATCTCCCTCTATTTTCTTGTGTACCTAGAAGGGACTATTACAACTGGTTTCTGTTTGTTACTCTGCATGTATTTCCTCGGGGTTGTTGGCATTTAGCCCCTCGAGGTTAACGTTTAATTTATTTTTGATGTTTTTTCGGACGCTTTCGAGTTCTACGTCAGGTATTCTTTTTTTTTTCCTGACGATGTCACGCCTGACATTGGCTAGTTTGTTGGCATCAATGTTTAGTCTATTTGAGGGGTGTCTTTCTCGCCAGATATCATAAGCAGCTTGTGTCGTTGTTGTCGTTATCGGATTTATCGTAGCGGTGTTAAAGGCTATCATTACTTCAATTGACTCTTCCCTAGACCATTTATTTATTGCTCTTTTTGTGGCATTTTCTTTTAGTGATTATAGAGGCTCTCTGTAAGAAACGTCCTCGGCGTGGTTTTCTTCTCGTTGGGTAGAGTTTGTTTCAATTACAGACTTTTTGATCCCAGTCTGGTTGTTCACTGGGGATCGCTGTCCTTGCTGGCCCGCGTGAAGGCTGATGCGGTTTATCAATATTTTTTTATTGTGTCACCATTATAATTAGTTCGCATTTACCCATACGTGGAATCTGGTTATTATTTTTATTATTATTATTATTGGTATCATCTTGGCAAAGAGCGATTTTAAGTGCCTAACTACCAAGTCCGCTCCGGCGTCTATGAGTAAAAAAAGGGGGTCTGTAAAAGTGTCACGTATATGCATTTTGGTCGCTTCGTTTAGATGGAGAGAGTTTTGCAGGTGATATGTTCTCTTCTGTACAAAGTAATCTTTTGTAGTTCTAAGATGTTTACAGCAATTGCACTCGCATGATTTTTAGTCCCTTTCTTTATCATACACAATGCTCCTATCACAACAAGCGATAATCGTAGCTTTAAGTTTTAATTTTTTTTTTTTTACTTCGATTTGAAGGTATTATTATTATTATTTCCTTGGATTTCCATTGTATACCCATTTTCTTCAGGGTCCCAACAAGAGACATTAGGTTAGAAATGGCTTCATGGCATTTCCCGCTAATCGTTTTTTGTAACTAAACGAAAAAAACAAAAACAAAAGAAAAACCAAGATCACCCACCTTTTACATAAATAAGGCCGCTGGGAATGTGTGAGCTGTACTCCTGAGTACAATGCTTTAAAGTATGAGCTACCAGGAATCAATTAGTCTATTGGAACCTTTTCCAATCAATCCGAGGGTTCCAAATACAACTGGATTAGTTAAAGTCCTCATGTCCCACATTTTTTAGATTTCCATTTCAAGATCCTTGTACTTTGATAGTCTTTTGAAGATCTTCAAAGATACATTACAATCTGCAGGCACTCATATCAATAAAAAACATTACTATTATTATTATTATTTTCTTTGATTTCTGTTGTATACACATTTCCTTCCGGGTCCCAGCTATCGTAGAGAGGTATTATTATTATTATTATTATTATTATTATTATTATTATTATTATTATTATTATTATTATTTTCTTTGATTTCTGGCTTGTACACATTTCTTTCCGGGTCCCGCCCAGGGACCGAAGGTTAGAAATGGCATCATGACACTTTCCACTGACAAAAAAAAAAAAAATTAAATAGATAAAGCCCTTCGTAAAGTGTGGGCTGTACTTGTCAGAACAATTTTTTGTATCTCTTTGAGGCATGGACTTCCAGGAATCCCTTCAATTAGTCTACTGCAATCTTTTCCAACCAGTCCTAGGGCTCCAACTACAACAGGGATTGTTGATGTTCCTATATGCCACATTTTCGAGATTTCTATTTCAAGGCCCTTGTATTTTATTATTATTATTATTATTATTATTATTATTATTATTATTATTATTATTAAAATAATTAATTGCTAAAATATAATAATATAATTATTATATAATACAATTATAATAATAATGATAATAGTAATAATAATGATGATGATGATATTATTATTATCATATAACATTTTAGCATTTAATTATTTTCTATTATTATCTTAATGGTATTATTTTATTATATCATTTTATTAATTTGTTTTGTTTTTTTTATCAATTTACTTAGTATTTAATATAATTTATTTATATACGAAGGTATTTTTCTTTTCGTAAATAGCAACAATCTGTCTTCACCTTTTAAATGTCGGACACAAATGAAGAATGACAAGAGTTATTCCTCTTTATCTTTGAAATTTTCTTCAAGTTTTAATTGGAGTTTTTCTCTCTCTGGAAATTGTTCTTCCCACTATGATTATCTGGGCTCCTTTATTTCACTTGATTTGTTATTGATTAAGTATAAAGTGTCATTTTAAAATGATTTTCGTAAAGAAGCAAAGAGGAGAGCTTTTGAAAAAGGAAAAGTAACGCACGAAACGGGATTTTGCGTGTGTGTTTGGTATTAAAAAAAAATTGAAATTGTTACTTTTTTAGCACAGAAGAAGAATTTATAAAAATTGAAATTTTACATCTTTTCACTCGCAGAAAAAAAAGGTGAAATATGTTTCTCTCTAAAAAGTAAGATTAGCAAACTAAATGACAATTATCAACAATTTAATTAAATGAATACTAAGCTTAGTAGGAAAAAAAAACAATAACGACGTGTTTCGTGGATTAGATTTTTTTTTTTTTTTACCCTCTCGACACCAGTAGCCATTTTTCCAAGCGATAATGATTAAATGTTGATTTTTAAAGGTAGACAGTTACACGAAAATTGGAAGATGCTCAAAAAAGTCACGTTGGACCAAGCTTGCATCCAGACACACGCCCGAGCGCGCACACACACACACGCATAGCCAACACATTTTCGAGTCAACAATTTTTAAAAAATGGATGCTATTTTATTTAGCTTTTACTTTTATCCATTTTGATTAGCCTAAAATTCATTAAACCAAAATTCACTCTGTAATAATATGAAGCATTTAAAACTAAATTTAACCTGCCGTGTTGCAAGGCCACTAGTTATATAAATACTCTGAAAATCGAACTTATTGGGCCATGAATTGGACTTAGTGTATTTTATTTTCTTTGACATGAGAATTCTGACCGACTAGTGTGTTGTATTGAAGAGAAGGTTTCATTAAAACTTAACTGGTTCAAATGTTTGGACCCACGCCAAATCAGGAGCCAAAAACCAAAGCCATTATTAGTTATAGTCGTAGCTCATGGGCTAAACACGTTAGTTCTTAAACGAAATTGATCAATACAGTTTTTACACAGACATACACACACATCTCAATTTCCATATACACACACCACAATGAAATTGTTAATGAATAAAGTAAAAGCTTGTAGAGACATATATGGGCAAATATTGATATTATTTTTGTTCACAGCTTTTTTCTTTTCTTTTTTTTTTTTTCTTTTTGCATATTTTTGGTTTGTTTCTTTTTTTACTCGATTTTAAACAATGACCTGCATCTCTTTCTTATTAGCAGTAGAGAATTCTTTTAAGAACATTAATTCTAGGATTGAGTATGACTGTAAGTTACTAATTTCTGATTGATTCACGCTACTAAATAAATCATCTTCTAATTTTGTGACTAAATTTACTTTTTTACACACCCGGCGAAAGATAGCAATTTCATTAAAACTCTATTTTAAAAACCGTTAGGAATGAGAGAAAATGTTTGCACGATTTTTAATGAACCATATTTATTTATTTTTGTAAACGTTACGTTTCTTAAAATCAGAACGTAATCACAAAAGGTCTCGAACAAACATGTATAAAATAAAAAATTTAATACTTCCATTCTAATGATAGATTTACAATTTAAAAGGATATTTTATACTAGACTAAAATGGGTTTTTTAAACTGAACATTTAAAAAGGAAAAACAAAAATATAAAAAATATTTCTATTCTTTTTTTATTTAATTTATTTATTTGTTTTTTTTGTTTTTTGTTTGTTTTTTTTTTTTGTTTTGTTTTGTTTTTTTGCTAATTGCCGGCAAAAAAATGAGGTTCAAAAAAATCAATAAATTGTTTAAATTACTTATTTATTTACACATTCGATTTTGTCGGCATTTAGCAAAAGTGAGAAATAGCAAAGAAAGAAAGAAAGAAAGAAAAAAAGAAAGAAAGAAAAGAAAAGAACAAAAAAGAAAGAAAAACAGAAAACATACAAAAAATAAATTCTAAAGTCGAAAAACGTTAGTATCATTTCAGTGAAATACCCCAGAATAAAAAACAATTCCTTGAAGTACCCCTCACAAACAAAAACAAATTCGATATTTCTTTCGTTTTTTTTCTCTTTTCCTCTTTTATTTTTTTAATCATTTTTTTTTACTAGTTGAAAAAATATATCAATTTATGCTTAGCTTACTTATTTATTAAAATCAAGAAAATTTCCGGACATTAAAAGCTTGTCTTTGCAGAATATAAATATTTGCGCGTGTGCATGCATGCTCGCAACGTGCATATACGTGAGTGAGTGTGTGCACGAACGCGGGCGTGTTGGTGTGTGCGGGGTGGAGTGAGAACTCTGTGCCTACCAAACAAGTGCCGGTAAATGGTAGTAACTATTATCAACAAACTTTGCCAATATCTTCTAAAAGTTCATGAAATTTAAATTTGGGGTTTTTTGGGGTTTTTTTTTTTTTTTTCTTTTTCTTTTTTTTTTAAACCTGAACCCGAATTCACTATGGTCGAGCACCTAGTGATGATCGAATTCTCTTTTGCAGGATTGACCGTCCCTCTTCCGCAGGCGTCCCGTTCCTCAGTGTATATATGGTTGTCTATATGTGTATAGAGGGAGATACGTAAT